TAGGTAACTATTGGAGGCTCATTTCCATCTGTTACCATGGCAAACTCTTTGCACTTCAAGGCCTTACAACTTTGTTTTCTTTCAAGATGAGGTACTTGCCCTAGCTTTTCCAGCAGTGTTAACCCAATAACATGGAAGTGTGATAAATAATAGTAATCGCTCTTCTCCCTCCATCAATATGTCTCATTTGTGTGGCACTGACCTATGGACTGTTCTTCCTTTGAACTCCTTTTTGAAGTTTGCTGCTGCCTGTAGTAGTCATCCTTATTAACATTCCTGGTTCTCATTTGCTTTCAGCCCAGTTGCCAGCTAGAGATAAGGAAGGGCAGGCCACTAACAATGGTGCTTTTCACGCAAGCTGCTCTAATGAGAAGGCTGGGTAGTTTATCTTGCTGTCTCTCCAGGCAGGTTACATGGTTTTTGCTTCTTTGTTTTGTTAAATGGTTCAGAAGAAACCTGGAAGGTTAAAGAGCCTATCGGGGAAACAGGCAAACATGAGAATGTACATCAACAATAATTTTCCATTTTTTTTTATTTGAAACCTTATTTGATTGACTTTTTTTTTATCAGACTGGCTGTAATCTATCCTTAGTTGAGATGAGCTATGGAAAAGAACCATTGATATAAATTTTGTTAAGGGCTGGTGATTTGTATCAAAGGCACATCCCAATAGTGTAATTTGAGTTTCTTGAAACTTGTAGCATAAGTAGAGAGATACTTTTTCCCAGTGAATTTTATTTATATTCTAATACATCACCATGTTAAATTGGAAGAAACTAAGACCTCATGCCTTCATCTATATCTTGATTACAGTGACATTGCTTTTCTCCCCCCTCTGTGAATCCTACTAGCTGGTCTGATAAGCAAAATCAGACATAAAACAGTTGTGAATATTTAAAGACATGCTTTTTGCCCTCTCCATTACCTGTAACTCAGCTTCTGCTAGGCAGTCATGCTAGACTCTTGGAAAATGTAAACATGGAACTGCTATAGATAGTACTACACTATTTTCATATATAGGGTACGTCTACGCAGCAGCGTTATTTCAGAACAACTGATGTTATTCCGAATTAACAAAGAGCACATCTACAATATAAGCCTTTATTTCAACATAATGTCAGGCTGGAGGTTACTCATGGTAATCCTCATTTTACAAGGCATAAGGAAAGTGGAAGGAAGAGTGTTCCTCCTTTGCTTTCCTGCTGTGTAGACAGCACCAAAACCCAAAATACGCTATTTTGACCTATGCTATGCAATTGACGTAGCTTATTTGGACTTTAGCTCTGCTTTGTAGATGTACCCATAGTTACTAATTTACTTAGACTTTGGCTGCAAATGTACTTTTAATGCTTGCTCTCATTCATTTTTCTTCCCTTCTATGTCTCTGTCTTTTGTCCTCTATATTTTATTTATCCAATTCCTTTTATACTAATTCACGTAAAATGTTTAATTTTTAATTAACAACAGTATATTTTGTTTGCCTTTTCCCCTTTATGTGCTATTTCTTTCTTACTATTCTCTATCATTTCTATTCTTTGTCTGTTTTTCTCCTCCTTTCTCTCCCTATTCATAACTCCTACCATCTCTCTACATTAATAAACATTTTTATTGTTTATTGAAGAGGAAACAGCTAAACTGCTGTATCTCCATCCCCATGTCCTCATCATCATGGTCTGTATCCTTATAGAATCCTCTTAACTCATTTAAAGATTAATTAAAATGGAATCAGTGAATAAATGTCTGAAGAAAGGAATTTGGCTCTTTGTGCTTCCTAGACCCTGATCCTTTCTCTCTTCCCCACTGGTATTGTTTTTCCAGTAAAATATTATTTTAATACATTTTAAGACTAGAAAAGACCATTAGAAAAAGATCTGGTCTGATCTGGCATAAAACAGGCCATAGCATTTAAGCCAGTGATTCTTGAACCAATAACCTGTGGTTGAACAGAAGGACGTCTTGATTTAAAGACTTGGGTATGCCTACACTGCAATGTAAGCCCAGCGTTAGAAAAATTTTTAGTTAGAAGACCTGGATTTGTTAACCTAGATTTTTAGTGTCTACACACATTTGTAACCCCAGGTTGAACCCTGTTGAACCCTGCCTCACAACCTGGGCTGTAGTGTTTACATTGCACCCATACCCATACCCCAAACTTCCTAGTACCCTCCCTAGTTCACTCCCTCTGGGGCATTTGGCATTGACCACTGTTGGCAGACAGGCTACTGGGCTAGATGGACCATACTGGGCAATATGGCCATTCTTATGTTCTCCCAAAATGTGACTGCTCAGGTCCTTTGTAGTGCAGTATGGGAAAGCTTGACTGTTCCCAAACTTGACTGTCCAGAGGACAAAGAAAGTCAGAAAATGGGATTGTGGGATACTTTGGGGGTGATTCCCAGCACACAAATCCAGTGGGACTGCATCTACACTGAAAAGTTGTATGCAGGGTACATCTATACTGCAAATAGACACCCATGGCTGGCCCAAGTTAGCTGTGTCGGGCTGCAGAATTGCAGTGTACATGTTTGGGCATGGAGCCTCCCCCTCACAGTGGTGTCAGAACCCAATCTCCAGCCCAAGCTTGAGTGCCCAACCAGGGGATCCCTGGTATATATCTCCCAATCATCCATCCTTTCTCAAAACTGTCACTCATCAATACGGGTATGTGTTCTGATTTAAATCGGTCCCAATCCCAATCAGTCCTGACCGTTGGTGTCACTTTTCTGTGGATTCTTAGCATCTATGGGGAACCAGAACCCCTCTCCCCTGCACCGCTCATCTGTCCTCCTCTTTCCCAGCACCTTCTGCACAATGCTGAACAACTTTTCCACAGTGTGCTGGAGCCACTTGGAAGGAAGGGGGGCAGCGGGGATGGAGAATGCTTGGAGGAGGTGGCAGAAGTGGGTGGGAAAGGCAGGATAGATGTGGAGGGGGAGCAGGAAGACATAGTGCAGGCAATTATTTCTTATGGGGAAAAATTCCCTGGTATCTGTCATTTCAGCATCTGTCACTCTTTTCAAGAATACAATCCCAACGTATATTAGGGACTGCTTGTACAGCAACTTTATAGCACCACAACCCAAGCCCCATGAACCCGAGTCAGCAGACACAGGTTAGCAGCAAGCAGTGTAGATGTGCTCCAGGTGATAAAGAATCTACCATCACCCGGTTAATCTAGTTGCTAAAATGCCAATTTTTATCTGTTATTTCCAATTTAAACAAATCTGGCTTCAGCTTCCTATCACTGATTCTTGTAATGCTTTTGTCTGCTATCTTAAGGAATCCTGTAAAAGCAGATGATGGGAGAATCTTATTTCCCCTTAACTTAGTCTATATTTCTTTGGCATGGTCCCCCAGAGATTTCCATATCTTGATTAGCTGTAACTAATCTATTCTCAAACTCTTTCACACCTCTCCACATAGCCTCAGTTCCAAATGCACTAATGCCGATCGTATGTGTCTAGAGATCATGAGGCAGGTCCCCAAAAAACTAAAATGAAAAAAAGTGTCTTTCTTTTAATTGCCTTCCCCTTGCTGAAACTTTAGAGTGCACTCAGGTCACATTTACAAGCTTTTTGCTGCAATCATGAGTACTAAAAGCTACCATTTACAAAGAGAAATGGAGGTGGAGGTGAAGGGGAAAGGGAGTGGGACTCTCACTTAATCAGATCCTGCCAGAAACTGGGGCTGTAAGAAATACACCAATTATCACAAGAGACATGATGAAATGAGAGTGACAACATGGGATATGCCTCTCAAAGTCACCTGGTTAGATATAATTCCTAATAAAGAGCCCCTACACAGAAAATCTGCTTGTGATGTATTTGCATTACAGGCCCTCATTTTGCAGCTCTATTTCTGATTGCTTCTCATGCACACAGCAAGGCAGACCCTGCCAACCTGCTTCTCCCTAGAAGGGTAATTAAACATTTTGCCCAGTGTGAAAGGAATATCAGCTATTTGGTTAAATAGATTTCATTGTTAGTCTGCACAAAGGCTTTTGTGAAGGTAATTTTGGAAATCACTCTATAATACATTCTGAATAATGAATTAGAAGAGGATCATGCAAAGGTATTTGCATTGATTATAGCTGATTTTGGGCTTGTTCCTAGAGTACTTATGAGACTATTCAAAAGAATAAGGACTATAGGCTTTGACCATTAAAGTTGAATAGAATCCCAGCTGTTATGTCAATAAGGCTAAATGAATTAAAAAACCTGACGACTTCTCCAAAATATTTTTTGTATCTTTAAAAAAACCCTGTCATTTTTATTGATCAAATATTAGGTAGATTCTCTGTCAGCCCTCTATATTCCCTTGGAATATGGTTCATTGAGTTCTGTAAGTAGTGGGGTTGTAAAGTTGCATCTCTAGGCTACTAAACTATTTTAGGACTGCAACTATTCTCTGTCATGCTCTTGTTTTAGGAATAATTAAAGATCAATACCCAAGCTAAAGCCCACTGTGAAAATATTGTAGCATTCTATGGTAATAACTAAAACCACTACTAACATATGACATTGAAGTATTTTGGAATATTATTGTAGAACGCAGTAAGTGTTTGTTAAGAACTATACAGTAAAACAGTAGCACTTTAGTCACTTGGAATCTAAAAGGGCCCCATCATGCTGTGTGGAGTAGCTCATGCCAATGAGTGCCAAACTTAGAGCAGACTGTCAAAAAAGCATGGCAGACACCCTAAACTGGTTCTATGTTTTATAATTAGATTTCACCAACCCAGTAACAGGTGTGAACTCTTCAAGGGCAGTCTTATCATGGAAAAACAGCCCCCTTGGACATTCTAGTCTAACTTGCCACCCCGGCAAGCTGGACTACGTGACAGACACTAAAAGTCACAATAATATTGAGGTTACTCCCAGTCTCAGAGGACAAGTCACTTACCTTAGGCCAATTACACTCAGATCTCAAAGCAGAGACAATGCCTGTAGCCAGTCCTGTAATAAACCAACTAAAGATGTATTAACTAAGAAAAGCCAGGAGGTGTTTCTTTTATTTTATTTACAGGTTTAAAACATGAAATGTACACACAAAAATGAATAACAGTTTTAGATGTATAAAGGTAACAAAATTCTATAATAAGCAACTCTAGGTCTCTTGCTTGTGTTTAGAAATCTTTGGCCCTCAGAGTCAAGGCAGCATGAAAGAGACCAAGTGTCTCCCTCTCAGGGATTTTTATCTCCATCCTAGATTCCAAGATGATGGGATTAGTTCATGTGCAGGCCTTCCCTTCCTGGAGGGAGTGAGGAATGCAGTGAACAAGGTCTTTTGATACTACACAATGCCTCATTTGACTTCATTGGACTGTCCTGTGTGCAGGATGAGCACTTTACTTTAATTAATAATTCTTTTCCTGCTTCAGTTACACAATTACAGAGGTATACAGTGAATACACGGAATATAATTTTATACCATGGGCTACAGAGCTTATTAGTGAGAGCAATACATGCAACATCCTATACTATTCATAAGGTCTCAACACCAAACACTCTCTTTTACCATTAATATCAACTTTAACTACGTCTTCCATTTTTGTATGCAGTGTTGTTTTAGCCACGTCGGTTTGAGGGTCATTAGCAAGACAATGTAGATGAAGTCATATCTTGTATTGGTTCAACTGCTGTTGATGAGAGAGACAAGCTTTCTAGCTACACAGAGCTCTTCTTCAGTGCTGGGAAAGGTACTCCAGAGCGTCTGAGCTAAATACAAGATCTAACAGTTTAGCAATCATCTTGAATGGTCCCTTAGGGTACGTGCACATAGCACTGTTATTTTGAAATAACCGACGTTATTGTGAAATAACAGTCCGCATCTACACTATAAGCACAAAATGTCAAAATAATGTTGAGCTGGAGAACTTCTTACCCAGACTCCTGTAACTCTCCTGTACAAGGAGTAAGAGAAGTCAGAGGAAGAATGCTCTTTCTCGGACTTCCTGCTGTGTAGACAGCACCAAAAGCCGAAATAAGCTATTTTTCTTAAGCTTCGCAACTGACATAGCTTATTTCACAACTCAATTTGCATAGCTTATTTCAGCTTTAGCCCTGCTGTGTAGATATGCCCCTAGGATACATGCAATGCTAAACTATCTGTTCTTGTATCTAGCAGTGACACTCTGATTACATTTCTCAGACATGAAGCAGAGTTCTGTGTAGCTCGCAAGCTTATCACTCTAACCAACAAGAAATTGGTCCAATAAAATATATTACCACACCCATCTTGTCTCTCTGTTTTAACTATACTAACCTATAGGTAAGCCACACTGGTTTCCATCTATGTGTGTCAGTGTTCAGTGAGGTCTAGGACTTTGCCATTAACTGGCACCTGGTCTGCCAGAGTCACAGGCCCTTTTATCAAATACAGTGCTCTTATGTGAAACAGCTTGTTTGAGTAAAAGATGCATTACTGAACAGTTGCCAAAAATATTCCCTCTAATCTTTTCCATCTATGTGTGGAATAAATGTGTATGTGCACCAAGGCATGTGTGAATGTTCATCATAATAGAAACACAACACCTAGCTGTGGGTGCTCTGCTAATCAGTTGGTCAGCATTTGAATTTCTCCTGAGCAGCTGTACAAGTGCACAGCTTATAGGGAACACTGGTTGCTACTCCTTTTAGGTTACTTACAATAACACCATAAAGTTTAATTGATATCTCTCCAGCAATAAACAAAACAGTTTTACAAAAAGCAGATATATTTTATTATGCTTACCATTGTTTGAGAACACTGTGTGATGCAAGAATATCTGGCTAACAAGAAAAGAAACCCTCAGAAAACAGGAAGGTGCAATTGTTTTAGATTAATTGCAATGTAATTTGCGTTATTTAAGTGCTGTGCAGCAAACTAGTAAAGGAATGTATCAAACATCAATACAAATAAAACTGGATATTTTTCCATTTGCAATTTGTTTCAGAACCAAGCAAGGAATTATGTCTGATAGGCTTCAGAAAGAGATGTTTGATACAATGGAGAAGTGAAGAAGATGAGCCTGCATTGCCCAATTTAGGTCCGTTAGCAGAAAGAGAATTGTCTATCACCAGAAAGGGCCACCTGGAAGAGTCCTGGCTTCTTGCCAACCTCATCCTTTAACAATTTCTTGTCATGAGCTTTCTGTAAAAATGTTCATAGTGGCACAACCTGGAGTGTCGGCAAAGGTCCTACTGGAGGAGCAACATATTCCTCTTCTCTCAGTAACCGCAACAAGATGTTCTTCTTAGTTTTTGGCCAATTATAAATGTGTGTGTTCTGAAGCCAAGTAGGCACATGTTCCTGCAAATGAGAAAAAAATACAAAACCATAACCACATAAAATCCGCTGACTGCATCTCACTTTCTTGCGGAAACCTCCCAGCAGTGCTATTAGACTCTGCCATACAGCCGTGTCACTGTGTCTGCTTGACTATTTCCCACGACATTGAAAATAAATTAGTCACACTTGGATTTTTATTTTATTTTTGAAATAGGTCGAGCCTATGTATTTCTCAGCTGCATAACTCATCATGAAAAACATGGGTATAGCATTTTTATATTAGCATACTACATGCTAACATTTTAATTTACTTTTCACTGATATCAGTAACTATTAGACAAAAGCCTAACTATAGCCATCGCCATAGTATCCAGGAACTATGAATATTTATATAGTGCCACATATTTACATGGTACTTAACAAATGAAGAGTAAACATTTCCCACAGAAGGAAGGAAGGAAGGGAACTGATTATTTAGATCAACAGGTTTGCATATGACTCATGAGAAGTATTAATTAAGTCAATGTACCGACTCCGATTTTTGTTGGAGTTTTTCATCCTAATATTTTGTTTGCCCTCTGATATTATAACATTGTGTAGTGCAGATTGATCCTCCTATGGCCCTTGGTTCTCAGAGAATGTATAGCTAAATATACCAAAACTACTGTGAACTCTCAAATGCTTTTTGAATGTTACATACAGAATAATACTGGCTAACATTCCATTGATATACTATAAAGCAGGGGTTCCCAAACTTTTTGACACGAGGACCAGTAAATCCATTCATGAACTTTTGGTGGACCAGTTACATTTTATTTGCATATTGGCATATTCATTATACAAATAATGAATGCATAAAGAAATACATAAAATGTTGCTGGTCTGCCAACAATTCGTGAATGAGTTTGTCAGTCCGCAGTATAAATAAGGTTAGGAAACATTGGCTACATTATCATTGTAGTGTAAACAAAATTTTTACTGTTTCAAATCATAAAATAATTCAAATTAGTTACAGAAAGAGTAATGGAAGCTTTTTCAATTCAAATTTAATATGTATGGTAATTATTTAATAAAATGAATAACGTGTGAAGTTGAAATCTTACAAATTTAAAAACCTGTTCCTTCACTTGCCTTTTGCAAGCACACCGAAAACAAATTCTATGACTTATATTTAATTTCTTAAATTTTCCTATAAGTGTAATTTACGCAAAATAACTTTGTCCAGTGAATGAAGGGTCTCACCTGCTAGTGAGTATATAAAGGAGAGGACTGAAGAATTTTTTTTGCCCTAGCCTTGATAGAACAATGGTTGTGATTTCAAAAAGTCCACATGCATTCATAGTAAAAGTATTAAGGCAGACACATTAGATCAGGAGGGGCAGCATTCCAAGATCTACATATGGCCAGGTCAGTCCCACTCCCCGCAGGCTGATTCATTCCTCCCGCCTGCTCCCCCCGCTGTGCCACTGGCCAGACCCACTTCCCTCAACCCCCTCCCGGGCAGCCAGGTCCACTTCTCCTCCCAATCTCCCTTGGCCAGCCCCACTGCCTGTATCCAGCCCTCCTTCCAGAGGCCGCTTCTTCTCCCCGCCG